TCCCCGGTAGATTTTTACTTTATTTTGTAAAAATCCACTTGTTTCCTATAGATGATTTACATTCAGGTAGTGGAACTATATCCCAAGTTTGATTATTTTCTAAGGCTTCAATCTCATCCTTCATGGAATCTATCCATCTAGGATCTTTGATAGCCTCATGGTAGTTTGCAGGTTCAAATATAGAAGAAGATGTAGCAATAAAGGATTGATAGGTAGGGGAAATATTTTTATATGTTATGAATTTACATAAGGCATATGGAGGCTCCTGATGAATGTTTAAAGACTCAAAGTCTTTCATCCAAAGTGGTGGTCTTTTATTTCTATTTGATTTCCTCGAAGTCTCTTCGGTTGATAGAGTAAAATTTTGTTAACTAGATGATTGAACTTGAATAGTATTTGAAGGTAGGGATTCAGTTGCTACCTCAAATACTGTGTTCTGTTGTGATGCTTCAGAGGTAGTATACTGTATTTGATCAGCTGATAAATTTGGGGTTTGTTGATTTGAATCTTCTGTACCATTATCGAAATCACCAATTTCATTTGTTTGAATGACATTATGACTTGGTTCAGTAACTTCAGTAGTGAACTGGTTGACTGGTTCATCTGATATTTGTTGAAGGCTGTTGGGCATGAAAATAGGTTGAACTTTGGTTTGATTGAGAGTTTTGAATGGAAAGATGTCTTCTTTGAAAATAACATCTCTGTTGACAAAAAAGGACTTGTTGTTAATGTCATACAGTAGATATCTTTTTTGAGAAGTTACATATACCATATGAATGGTTGCCTTAGACCTAGACATTAGTTTATCTTGTTCTTGCACATAAACATCCTAGTACTTTAAGATGTTTTAGTGAAAGCTTCTTCCCATACAATTTCTCATATGGAGACTTGTTTGCTAGTACAGAACTTGACATTCTATTAATAAGATAGGCTGCAGCTAATACACAGTATCCCCAAAACCTTATAGGTATGTGTCCGTGAAATCTAATTGCTCATGTGACTTCTAAAATATGTATGTGCTTTCTTTCAGCCACACTATTATGTTGTGCTGTGTAAGCACAAGTTATATGATGGATTATCCCAAGATTATTGAACATATTATTGCGGTTTGTATTGACAAACTCAGTGCCATTATCAGTTCAGATGAGTTTAATTATTTTGTTAAATTGAGTCCTTACAGGCATTGTGAACTGTTGAAGAATAATGCAGATATCAGACTTAAGTTTGAGCCAAAACAACCATGTTGTTCTGGAAAAGTCATCCACTACTGTTAAGAAATACTTGTTACTATCAAATGTAGCTACTTTATATGGTCCCTAAAGATCTACATGAACCAAATCAAATGAAGTAGTAGTTTTAATGCAACTAGTAGGAAAAGGTTGCCTTGTTTGCTTTTCACATGGGCATACAACACACTTATTCAATTTTTCTGCTATAAGCTCTAGTTTAATAGATAGTAACTCCTAAGTAAATTTGTTGATGCATGTCCAAATCTCTTTTGCCACAAATCTATATCCTTTGCTGAGTTGAAATCATAATTGGTTGAACTCTCAGTAGCTGTAAGAGTAACTTCACTTATGTTTCCTGCTGCTTGACTTCTTAGTATGTACAGATCATCATCTTCCTTACCAATCGCTTTCACCTTCTCAGTGAAGAGCTCCTGAAAAATACAAAAATCAAGAAAGAATACTAGTAAGCATCTCAACTCTTTTATCAGTTTAGAAACTGAGAGTAGGTTGTATTTGAATTGAGGAATGTAAAATGCATTAGTTATTGTGTTTATAATTGCTAAGGTACTAGCTCTCGTTTGTGTAACATGTGTCACATCTCGATTAGGCATAAATATTCTTTTTGAATACTGAGTTTGAACTATAGTAGACTTGTCCAACAAGTCCATGTCTGCTACCATATGGTTGGTAGCCCCAGTGTCTATTATCCAGTGTTTAAAATACTTAGATGCACCTGCTACATTGGCATTATAAGTTGGCCCAGCATTGTTGTTTAGCATATGGTGAATTTTCTCATACTGCTCTTTAGTAAAGGTGCAACTGGTCAGCTGACCTTGCAGGTTAAGTTGATTACTCATGTTCTGTCCCATTGATTGGTTTGCAGTATCTATTGATCCAGTGAACTGGCCAAATGCATTTCTTCCAGTCTGATTGTTCTGCAAATTATCTTCATTTAGAACATTATAGGCAATTGCATTATTGAACCTTGTGTTTCCTGTGTATTGATTGTTCTGAGTTGCAGATTCAGTTAGTGTATTATGAGCAGTATATTCCCAACTCCCCCTTTCTTCCGGAGTTTAAAGTATGTGGGACACCCCACAATTTTGTAACAATTTTCTTTGCTATGACCTCTGAGTTTGCAAAACTCACATTGAACATTGTAGTTCTTCTTTACTTTCTGATTAAACCTTTGATTTCCACATGTTCTTGATACATAGCCACATCATACTGTCCGGTAACATTAGTTGGATTTGCACCTAATAATCCTGCTGAAGCTGCTACTGTTTTTTAGCTTTCATCACTTATGATCATTACATAGGTCTGATTGATAGTAGGCATGGGACTCATTAGCAGAATCTGGCTTCTTGCTTGACTGTATGAGTCATTTAACCCCATCAAGAACTGAAACAGTTTCAATTTCTATAAATGCACTATAAATTCTTTTGATTTTTCACAATCACATCCAGGGGATGGAACCAATGCTTCAAATTCTTCCCACAAATCCTTCAATTTTGAAAAATAAACAGATATAGAGGCAGTTCCTTGTCTTAAGGTTGCAATTTCTTTTATGTAAATTAAAGGATCTTGCACCGTCTAATTTGTTAAACCTTTCATACAAATCAATCCAAACAGCTTGAGCACTTGAATCATACATAATTCTACCTAATAATTCACTAGCTACAGAATTCATGATCCAATAAAGGACTGTTACGTTAACTCTTTCCCAATGATTCCACATTATTTATGAAAATTATTTTTTAGTGCAAGAACCATCTACCAACCCCAATTTTTCCTTCTCAATAGAGCTACTCGCATAGATCTAAACCAGATAGAGTAGTTTTCAATACCTGTCAATTGGAACGATATGATTTGAATTCCACTGACATCTGAAGGAGACAGAAATAACGAATGATTGTAGTCTATTCCAGGTGCTTGATTCACTCCCAATGTAGGAGTTGGAGTTGGTGCATGAGTATGGTGCATAGTTGTTCGATTCAGCAAATCTTTGATCGCCATTGTCAACCAAGAATTCAAGAACACTAACAGTAATTGACAAGTAGATTATGTGGGATTAAGATCAAACCACAAGCTAGAGATTACTAGTTATGCTCTGATACCATAAAATTGTATGAAAAAGAAGAAGAACAGAAAGGTACTGACCCAGTAGAGAAGAAGAGGAAGAAGACGGAAGAGAGAAGAAGATGATGAAAAATGAGAAATGTTATTCTTGCATTGTGTGTGAAGTGCACATACACATGTATATATATATATATATATATATATATATATATATATATATATTAACACTTGTATAATACAAGGGATGAATACACTAACATATACTATAACATGCTATATATGTAATTAAAGTAG